CCAGGGGAGAGGCGCTGCAGCGCTCTGAGGTTCCGACTTCCCGGGAGCAGCCCAGCTTTGGGGCTCAGAGGTAGCCGAGGAGGGCTGTGTGCTGTTCTCTGGCGCCACCTCGTGGCCACAGAAGGGCCACTTCCCATGAGGGAGGAGTTCCTGGAATGTGGCAGGGAGAGCTGTCCAGCCCACACTAGGACGATCCCTGCCTAGGCTTCAGGTACCTCCTCTGTAGACCGAGGCAGGAATCGGGTGACGTCTCCTTGCAAAGTTAGAGCCCCAAATACAGGTCTGTTCTTATTATCACCTCTTTACACTGAGGAAGCGCAGGCTTAGGCACGTGAAGTTCCTTGAGCTAGGAGGCATGAGGCAGCGAGAAGGGCTAGCCTTGACCAGCGTGCCCCAGAGGGCAGACCCAGGAGCAGCAGGGCGGATGAGGCGCAAAGCGAAAAGAAGCTTTCTAGATGTTAGTTCTCTCAGAACTAACAGGAATCTTGGCTGCACCACTCTGACCAACTAGGAAACAACCCTTCCTCCCTCCACCGCCCCTCCCCGGGATAGAATTCCCTCTGGCTCTATGGGTGTAGAGGGAGCTGGAGGAGGTGTTAGGTGGGAGTAGCTGGATGGTACAGTGGATGGAGTGCTGCACTGGGCTTCATGGAAGACCAAGGGCTGCCTCAGATGCTTGCTAGCTGTGTGACACTGGGCAAGTCACTTTAACCACTGCCTGCCTCAGTTTCCCCATCTGTAAGATGGGGGGCTTAATAGCACTGTAGTGCCCAACCATTCAGGGTGGTTGTGAGGATCATGTGAAATCATGCATGTGGGGGCTATGAGCTAGAGAAATGTGAGCTCTTTCTGGAAGAAAAACTGTGCCTCCAGAGACCAGGCTACAGACTGTCCTTGAGGGAATCCTACTGGCTCCCTGAGTCAGACTCAAGGCCCTGGGAGTGCAGAGCTTGAATGAGGGGGAGCAGGTGTTCCTCAGCACCTCCGCATTGGGCCTCTGATGAGGTGTGCTGTCATCCCTAGAAGGCCCATGCTAAAAGGCAAAAATTTGGTTCTTCCCCCTTCCCCCCCCATCCTGTCAAGTTTGCAGAGCCTTGGCATGACCGCTTGGTGTCATGGACATGGAGTCAGGGGTCTGGATTCAAATCTCAGCCCTGCTAGAGCAGCAGAAAGCTAGTACACAGCTACAAAGCTCCTATCCCCTGCCCTCTCTAGGTCTCAGTTTTCTCATCTGTAAAATGAAGGGATTGTGACCCTGAGTCCTACAGAACCTGAATCCTGTGATCCCATACCAGGGAGGAGCTGTAGGGAGAACTGTGGTGAGGCCAATCCAAGAGACCAAGACCGAGAGACTGAGAGCTAGGAGAGCATCTTAGAAGCCTCTGAATTCGATCCTTTCATTCTGATAGATGATAAAAGGGAAGCCCGGAAAGGGAAGGGAAGGGGCTTGCCCAAGTCTGTACAGTCAGTGACAGAGTTGGGATTTGAAACCCTGGGCTGAGATCCCACAACCTGACAGCTCTGGGCTCAAGGAACTTGTTCCTCTCAAGGGCCAGCAAAGCCTGTTTGAAAAAAGAAAGAGAACAGGTGGGCAGCCACTCCTAGGCAAGGAGCATCTGGGGAGAGTGAAGGCTACGGCAGGCCAGGCATGAACTGACAGCGGTGGTGGAGAGAGGGGAAGGGAGTAATGGACGGACAGACAGATGGGCAGAGAGACAGACAGATGGGCAGGCAGGCAGACAGGCAGGCAGAAAGACAAACACAGATGGACAGAGACAGACAGACGGGCAGACAGGCAGGCAGAAACACAGATGGACA